TTTTTAGAGGCTTGATAAAATTTTCAGCATCTAGATAATATATAAAGATTATGATCATTTGCTTCTTTTGTTGAACAAAATACTCAGAAATGTGTAGAGGACCGCTGTTTTCCATCTAAACCGTTGTTCTCAGTTCAGACCCAAACTGGATCCTCTCACAACAATTTTTTTTCTTGCTTGTGTGCCTGATTGTGTGAGTCCAACTTGCAAAGTCTGTATATATGAACTAGATCTCTCAAAGTAGCTAAATGTACAAAGAAAATACTGACAATTTTTGTAGTCTCTTGTTACAACCAACATTGATTAAAAACCACAAATTACCACTGAGCTCCTATGGAGTATTGACAGATTTGCTAGAACTATTCCTAGAAGGGTACTTCAGCCTTCCAACAAAACAAAAACAAAAACTGCTTTCCTCTCAAGGCTTATGAGAGGAATTAGAAACCAACAGTTAATGTTTAATACTCTAGCAAGGGCCAATACTCATTTAAAATTCTCAAAGGATACAAAACCTAAACTTTGAAAGCCTTCCCTAGACTGACTAACTGGACATTTTTAAAATGCTGCCCTTGTCCAGGTGAGGTATGGCTAGAGGGTACCACGCTGGATGCCCAGCCAGCCACAGCAGAAACAGGATCATTAGCAATTTCTTCTGCCCATTGCCGGGCAGTTTCCACACCCTGGAAAAAACCACACACAGTTCATTCAACTCTAAGAGCATCTCCATATTCTGTCTCCCATGTCCCTTAGCCTGAAATCTCATTCTTGAGGAGGATCTGTTCCCTGGGTTCTGTTCTGCCTCCTACCTAAATTTTGTTCTTTACTCAGCCTTCTCATTTTTAAATTCTTTGAGGAGCTCCTTTAGGATGTTGAGTTGCCTTCTCCCCAAGACGTTGCTTCTCATATTGTCCAGCTGGACTCTACTGGGCTCAGAACCAGCAAGGGGTGCGCAGACACAGAAGCTGCTGCTCAGCCTTGGTTGAGAGTCCCAAGCCCTTTCTTCTGGCCCAGAGGGAACTGGGCCCAGGCTCGTGTGGCCTGCTCACATCAACCCCACCTGTGCTGAGGTGTAACATAACTGATTCTCAGTACTCCATTCCTGTCTGGGTCCAGATCCAGTAATCAGCATCCTGGAAGAGTTTGGTGCTTAGCTCTCTTTTCCAAGTTTCTGGTCTTGTGTCTTTCTATCTGCTATGTCATCTTAATAACACCTATTGGTAGCTAGTTTATTGGGCTCCATTTGCACGATAGCAGCTTTGGCTCTCGTAATTCAGTGTCAGGGCAGGGGAGACCTTAGAGATGCTCTGAGGACAAGCCCTTGTCAAGGATTTTCTAAGTAAACCTTTTCCTTGAAATCTTTATCTTTAATATGCTTGGAGAAATTATTTTCATAAGTTTATTTCAGCCCAGCTTGTTATGTATTACCATAATTTCTAAATGGAAACAAAGTAGTCATAATACAATTTGAACATTCACTACAGCATTTCTTCTTTTATTGCCTTGCTATGGTTGTCTTGTCTCATTTTTCTTTTTATATGCCATTTCTCTTTCCAGAGAGGTAAAAATAACTATTTGTCTTTAGGAAATAAATGTTGTTTACCTACAAAAAAATTTCAAAAATCCTCAGTTGAAGAGACACAGTTGGTAATTCTAGGCTGAATGTTCTCATCAGCCAACTTTGATTCAAATGGAGTCTTTTCTGTTTTGATTCTTTCAGGAGTCTGGACACTTGGATCAAGAGTACTTTGTTCTGGTGGCATTCATAGACTGGTCTTTGAGTGGACATTTCCTTTACACCACTGTGGTGGAATGAACTCTTTCTATGGAGTTTGTGAATGTGGTAGGGGGAAAGAGAGTACAAATGTCTCACTAAAAGTGGCTCCTGAGAAGCCAGTCATTTAAGACAGACAGAAGAATATCCCAAACCTCATAATCAAGCTGGTAGATTGATTAAATTCATAGTATAGAGAACATTGTTTCTAACACATATGCTTTTGTTTATTTAGCTTTTACAGATATCCTGGCCTCCCAAAAAATTAATTCTTAACTTCCTGGAAACTGAGTTGTATTCTCAGTGCTGGGAGATGGATGCCCTTGAAATAAATTTGACAAGTTTCCTTGCAAGCAAACGGCCACTCATTGATTTATTTTTTATATTTTCCAAAATTAAATGCACCAGGAGATAAATATTTCATGCATTATTCTGCTGTTTTACTAGTAAATCCTTTGTAGTACAAAATGCATATCAGCAAGTGACTGAGATTTGTTCTTTATATGAAATAGCCTCTGGCTGGAATGAAGGATTTCCAGCTATTCGGTTTATGATAATATACCTTCCCCAGCACTGATAGCAAGTGGAAAAAGCAATTCTTCTGTCATGTCAGTCTTCATTCCTCATTTTCATGGTTCTGTTTTGATTATGCATGGCCTGGGTACCTTAGCAAAATTTATTTTGAAATGTTGTTGTGAAGATTATAGTAATCTGTGACACAGAAAAAGTGATGGCTCTTGAGTCTGGTAAATCCAGGTCTTTTGCCTGCCCAACCCCCATGTCTGAGGAAAGGCCACATTAAAGAAAAGAATGATTGAGAAATGCAGCTGGCAGGAAGATGGAGGAGGTGGCTTCAGCCAGCAAGCACCCACACGGTTCATCAGCCCTGCCTCACCCAATTTTCCTACTCTGTGACTCATCACTGAGATAAATCAATAAGATGGCCATCCTGCAAAATGTCACTTCTGAAACTCTGGCCAATACAAGGCACGTCAGATTTGCTGGGAAGAGGGAGCATGCTTTCTGTGGCATGGATAAGTAGTGCATACTAAACCTTCTGCGTGCACCCCGACACTTATGATTCTCTTGTGATTGGAGTCGCCACTACTTGTGGTCAGTGGATTGTGAGGAAAGGTAAGCCCAGGAGAACACAGGGTCTTCACAAGCCAGTTGTTGAAGTGGCAGCATCATAAAAAGGGAGCCGTGGTCAGCCTGGAGTAGGTAATTTCTTATGCCGTGATCGCTTAATACTCTCTCCCGCTCATTCTTCTCCTGGCATTACCAACCCTGTGACCATTAGGATGCTGACCCGTGTGCTACATCCCCAACGAGAATGATTCCTCATTTTCAGCAAGAATAATAGGTCTTATCTTTGCAAGGTGATGTAATTTTTTCAAAGTGACCAGCCTGCCAGGCATTCCAAAATGCTATTATCTACTATTAAGTGCCTACCGTTTTGCCTTCCATTGTTTGCTTGGTGAGTAGATAAGGTAGTCATACACTTAGGATACTAATATCCTGCACACTTTGTGGCCTTTTTGTGGGCTGAAGTTTTTAATAAGCTATTTCTGACCCTTATATGTTTTCAGTGATAGAAGTATTTCTAGAAATCTCTGTTTATGGAAAGATAGAGCCAGAGTTTGTTTCAGTGACTCTACAAATCTTCCCAAATACATCATTTTCAGGCCCAGTATTCAGGTTTTTTGTGGGTTTTTTTTGTTTGTTTGTTTGTTTGTTTGTTTTGGTACCTGGAATCGAACTCAGGACTTTGCACTTGCCAGGCAGGCACTTGTGCCACTGAGCTATATCCCTGACCCTAACTCCAGGATTCAGAATAAAATTTCTATTACTCAGACTTCACCTTTAGAGCTTGTCCTTACTTTCCATTTTTAAAACTTGGAACTTTGTTTCAATTTTGTTATCTGAAGGAAATCAATTGGGAAGTGGACTTAGGTGGGAGAGGGAGAAGAACAGATCTGTTCTGAGCTGGGCTGAGCTGCTCCGGCATCTGCTGTGTTTATGGAGATGGGAAGGTGGGTGGTGGGCTAACAGCATTGGATTCTTTCAACCTGTTCTGTAGCTTAATTTTTGCTTTTCTTCATGAAAATAAATGGATGTAACACCTATGACAACAAATTAGACAATTTATTATCAGTTTAATATAAAGAAATTTATATCAAATTAGCCATCTCCTATTTATTCCTGAATAAAAGTATTATGTGAGAAATGTAACTGAATTATGTGCTCTTGGCTATACCAACCTACATACAAGGAAATATATCTTTTTAAAAACCATGAAAATGATAGATCAGTTTCAAAGGGAAAATTTGCATCACCAGACTTTTTCTCACTTCAAATTTGTGTCTCCAGCCATGATCTATAAGGAGACCTGTGCATGTGGATCATTAATCCTCCGAATGTGTGTATTAGCATCTTTCTGGTTGCAATTTCAGTTTAATCTTAAGTCATTGTTGCAGATACCTGTGGTGGTTATGTAACAAACCACCAGAAAATACTGTGATTTAGAACAATGATGTATTAGGGTTCACAAGATAATTCTTCTTTTGCACATGGTTTAACAGGTCACTTATTCAGCTACTTCAGTTGAGAGTTCAGCTGGGGCCAGGAAGTCCCGGCTGGTCCTTTTATCACCCAGGTTCTTTTTCCTCTGGCCTTCTTATCATCAATAGCACAGCAAAGACTTCCCAGAGAGAACATTACAAAGGGATAAGCCCCAGTGTGCAAATGTTCATTGCACCTCTGCTTGTATATTACTTGCTAAAATCCCTGTGGCTGAAGCATATCACATGGCCAAACTCACCAATGTAACATTGTACGTTCCACGTTAGTGAAGGTTTGTTGTAGGATATATATGATGCAAAAAAAAAAAAAAAAGACAGGGAGACATCCCAACTATGATCACTGTTCTGGCAAACCTCATAGAGAGTTGATGCAATGTTTATGATGTTGTCATATGAGTGCAAGCGTAGCAGGTCCTTCTTATATCACCTGTGCTATTCTGTCTCTGCTGTGGTCACTCATCAGTCTGTCTCTGCTGCAGATCCTTAGCTGCCCACTGACCTCCTGCTGATTTGAACACCACTCACATCCTCTGCTTACTCACAGTTACGCAGGCTGCCTTGCCTCTGCCTGATGTTTTGCCTTTGTTCCTGCTCCAGAGTGCTGACTCACTCTCACTTTCTGCCCATTCACTCCGCCGTGGAGAAAGGAATTTGCTACTCCTCAGTTGGTCACTCTTCAGTCTCTCAAGTAGCTGAGTAGCTGAGTCACCTCACAGGCACCCCACAGCTGCCTGCCTTTGTTCAGATTCCCTCCCCGATTGTGTTAGCCTTGCTCTCAGCAGCAGGTCAGTGCAGGACTGTGCGCATCACAAGCCTTCAGAGAGGAGCAGTCTCTCCATTCTGCTTATCTGTTTGTACTGCAGTCGCCTCTAGAGGTGGGGTCCACTTTCTGTTTGAAGAGCTAAGTTTTTTCTTTCTCTTCCCACCGTCCTTTCCATCAGTTCTCTCGCCTCTGAAGCTGGTCCTGACAACCATCCTCAGGTAACTTGCTGGGTAGTCACAGGTGCCATCCCTGGTCAGGCTGTTATTGGTCTCACACTTACCATCTTCTGTCTTTTGTCTTAGATCTCTCAGTCACACCATTATCTCATATTAAGCTATTTCATTTCTTGTCATTGCTGTGATGAGTAAAAGCCAGGTTTCAGATAATTTCATGTGCTGTGAGACGCTAGATTGCTTTAAAGATTGTGATTTTTTTAATGATCTAAATTTAATGTCCAAAAGCTTTTCATAACTTTCTAAATCCAAAACAATCTTAAAATTGTTTGATATTTGTACATTTTTGTGTTTATTCATGAGACATCTCTAGAAGGGTTCACAGAACTTTGCAATATTGTGACCTCGTAAGGGCGAAACTGGGGTGCTGGTTGTTTACTTTGCATTATTTGGCCTTTTTGCCTTATGAACTTTGGACCATGTGCATATATTGTCTCTTTTTAAAACTGACTTCTTGAAGTATGACTCCTCGCCATTGAAAGCCCAGGACCTGAATGTGGTACAGTTTCAGGGACATCTGTTTGTATAAGTATAAAGAGGCCCATGGAGCCATGCTGTGAGCAACTCTGTAAGGACCTTCTATAAATCCAGGTGTGGTAATGTGTGTCAGTAATCCCAGCATTTGGCAGACTGAGGCAGGAGGATCACTGTGAGTTTGAGGCTAGCCGGGGCCACGTAGTGACTTCAAGGCCAGCCTGAACTACATAGCAAGCCCGTCTCAAGAAACCACCCCTTCCAAAAAAAACTTTTGTAGATATTCAGAATCTATTTTTTAATATAAATGACTAAGCATGGTAATTCTGTTTGCCTATTGGCTACTTGCAAAGTAATTTCAGTAGTGGAATAACAGCTTACTTTTTGCAGTTTGAGGAGTATGAGATAACTTAGCGCATGGAGGAATAAGCTTTTTCTCTGTTTAACCGCTCATTGAGTATAATAACTGCTGTCATATTTTTTGGAGGCATAAATAAGATAACCAATCACAGCGCTTTGAGAAATGAAGATATTGATCTATTATCAGAATTTTTTCAATCTTCTATTGTTGTCCTAAAAAAATACCTGTGAATTGTTCACCTTTCCTTAGGTGCTGTTTCAAGTTAGGTACCAGATTTCTTACAGGAACACTATAGTGAGATTCCTTTAGAACAGCAGGAAATTAAAAACATGTTCTGTGAAGCTTCACGCAGGTTGCCTTGCTGTTAGAAGAGATCACTGCAGCCTCTGCAGCCCCTTGCTCCGAACAGCTTTTATATGAGGTGCACATGTGTGTAGTTGTGTAGCTCTCACTGACTTTATTGATGGCTTCTCCCTCAGTTTCCCCTCCACTGTTTCAAACTCAGATCTATGATTTAAAACCGTGGCATGAGCTAGGATGGCCATTCATGTACTATTCTGAATGGTAAATATTTAAAATATAAAAATGGCCACCCCCGAGTTGGCTGCTAGACAGCAGCTTTCACCGTCAGGGCAATGTCACAGCTACGTAGTTGTGCAGGCAGGCTACTGATGAGCCCTCAGAGCAATAATTAGGGTGTCACAGGGTGTCCAGCAAATAAGCATACCTGCTTCCTGGCTTGGAGATGTAGATCATGTTACCTGAGCAGTCAGCATCCGAAGCACCCATACTGGATGCTGAAAAGCACAAATAGCAGAGAAGGAAATGGTAAATAATGTTTGACCTTTCAATTCTGCTGGAGAGCTGTTTATATTTTTTAATGAAAATAATTTCATCCTTCCCTTGAGAGACAAAGGTTGTGTTTTCTTTCTAATAACAAGACTTCTTAGGCAACAGGACAGCTGCTTTGCCCTGGTTTGGTGTGAATCCTTTGTGAAAACTTTGGGTTCTTCTTTTGAAATGTATAGTAAATAATGTTCTCTGTTACAATGTAAATTGGTGCAGTGCTTGCCTAGTAAGCATGAGTTCCTGAGTTCAATTCCAGTGCCAAAAAGAAAGAAAAGAACACTGAAGCAAATGAAGTGAGAGGACTTTGAACTGCATTTATTTTCTGGTGGTGAAAAGCTGCTATTATAGGTAACATAAGAAAAATTGCTTTTAATGGAGTTAAATTAAGCAGAATATTAAAGGACTTTATATTTATCCTTATTCTTCATCGTTTTCATAATATATATGATGTTATGTAGGCTAGGGCTAAGAATATAGCTCAGTAGTACAGTATTTACCTACCATGCTCAAGCCCCCTGGGTTCAATCTCTAGTACTGCAAAAAAATAAAATAAAATAAAAGTGATTTATTATCAGAAGATGAATATACAATTTGTGTCATTTAAAATGTTAATAACACATTTATCTTTAAAATTTCTAACATACTCCTTAGTGTCCACCAAAAATGATGTGCTACTTCATGTTTACATTTTATTCACTTTAGTATAATTACATAAACAATTTAGTTTTAGTTCATGATTTTAACTTAAGGGAAAATGGCCATTGTCTTACAAGGGGAAGTACAAGGCAGACAGACTAGGGTTGGTGGGGTGGTGCAGGACATTGACATCAGAACTCAGAGTACAAAGCAGTGGTTTTCTTTGTGAGACATTCAGAGCACATTACTCTTACAGAAAGCTCAGTTTTCTGTAGCTGTATTTGATTTTCAGTGTGATTAGGTGCTGGGGATTTAAGGCTGTCCTCGAGCATTTGGATTTTCACCTATGAGGCTATACTTAGGAGGAATGGGTGATTTTCCCTGAGCAGGTTCAGAGGATGGGCTTTGTCCTTCCCTGACAGAACCCATGAGAGAGATGACTTTTCGACTAATGGTGCAGTAAACTTACAACTTCTGAGGAAAGACCAGAGCTTCAGTTGTCACAGTTCATGACCTCCTGGCAGTGTGAAGATTTATTTACTCATTTCTCTTTCAATAAATGCTCTGTTGGTTTTCTTAAAAAATTAATGCTTTCTTTATAAAACACTATGATTTCATGCACAATAGTTTATTCCATGTGTACTCTGAAAAATTATGATGGTTGATTAACTTGGAGCATAAGATTAATTTTGTCCTCAAGGTGCATAAATGTGGGTCTGTCAGATCCACGTTTATTCTTTAGAATATTTCTATTGATGAATTATTAATTATAATTGTATGAGTTTTATGATATTAAACAGTGAATACTTAACAGGAAAAAAATCAAAATAAAGTATGAGTTTTTAATATTTATTGAGTGCTTATAAAAAAGCATCACAATTTCCCACATTGACTGGTTTTTGGTGTACAAAATCTAAGAAAGAATATCAGAAATAAATTCCCATATGAACTACAATGAAAATCCCAATAGCACTGTCTTAAAAGATCTTTATTTCAATTAAGGCAGTTTGCACGCATGACAACAGTATGTTCCATACGCATTCATTTTTTTTTTTTTTTGGTGCTGGGGATTGACCTCAGGACCTTGCGCCTGCCAGGCAGGCGCTGTGCCACTGAGCTATATCCCCAGCCCAAACATGCATTTCTTACACCGACCACACATGTCTTGCTTTCCTGGCCTTTTTGTAGGATATACTTGACAGCTCAGTGGTCTTGCTGTTTTCTCAGGAGGTTCTTATTATATTATACAGTGTGTAGTTCACAGGAACATAAAATATCAATGAAATAAATTATTAAATTCTTAATATGTGTTGTGCATTTAGAATAGACATCAACATTTTCATATCAGCTGAGTACTTACTTACAATAGCTAAAAGATAACATCAGAAATAAGTTCCTATATGAACTACAATGAAAATACCAATAGAACTCTATCACAAAAATAAGCTTTGCTTCAGCTATCACACCGAAGGCAGTGTTCACACATGACAACTGCATGTTCCATGCACAAGTATCACTTACACTGATGGTACATATGTTTTGTTTTCCTGTCCTTTCTTACAGGGCACAGTTGACATCTTTTTGGTTTTCTTGTTGTAATAGTAGGTATTTGTGAGGCTGCACTTGCCAGTTCACCTGTCAGCTCACCAGTGTGCTCCACAATTTTTTTGCTTAGTTCCCTTGGCAAAAACACTTTGTCTTTCCTCTGCTGTAAATGATCTCTTATGAGCTCCCATCACAAACCTCTAAGAAAATTTCTCCATGAAATTTTGCACTTGTTATTTTCTTTGTAAACTATCAAACTATTTATGCCACACTTAGGATTCAGTAAAACACAACCACTGGCCAATGCTCTGTGTTTCAAGTGACATTATAGTTGCTCCATAGCTCATCAACAACATCTACTCCATCTTTGGTTTTGTTGTTGAAAGTTTCCATCTCAGGCTTCCATTTTGTCGAGGTTTCCTTATTAATATTTTTGTCATGATGAAATGTTGACATCTGCAGTACCAGTTTGCTTTTCTTTGCCATTTATGAGGCCAATGTTTTACCTTTCTGAAATTCAAAAATCTTACTATACAGTTCTCTGTTTTGAAATTGGAACATTTCATTTGGAATGTCTGCTTTGTTCTTTGTATAGTTCCTGTGCTGATCAACTTGTATTCTGTTAGCAAATGTAACATCAGTTTGAAACCTGTAAATCAACTGCCAAATGTCACATTCTGATTAGTTTGGGATCTGGGGGCAACGAGTCTGTTCAGAACTAGTTTTGCATTTGGTTTATTACTACATGAATAAGGATCTCATGACTGAATTCCAGGATAAATGTCTAAACTGAAAAAGTAATAAGTCTTCACATCTACAAGGGCATAACTTTTTAAGCCATATTTTGACTCATCACTTTTCCATAAGCCTTTTATATTATATTCCTAAAATCCCGTGAGAAATCTGTGCTAGGTACAGCAGACCTGTGAATGCTTTCAGTTCAGCTAACGAGATATCATAATAAATAATTTTTTAATATGGCTGTTGGTTCATACAGAGCATTTTCTTGCATTTCAGCCTTTGTGTATTTCACAGCATGTTGCAGCATTTCGTCTGTTACATTTTCCAACGCTGAATGGCAGTGCTGGCATTCTGTCCAATATGTTTCACCCCTGCCAAGACCTTCACTATATTTTCAGACCTAGTTCTAACATTGGATTGTTCCATTGGTTGTGTGGCCTCTTTGTAATATTTGGACTAGTCAGATAGGTACTCACATCGTTGTTTTCTTCATCATCTGAATTGAGGAAGTCTGCATTCCCTGTGCTGCATTTCACAGTCACAGGAGCTTTGACTCACATGGCCAACGTCAAAGTCGTGATGATCATCATCATCATACACCCACACCACTCTTCTGTTATGAAACATGTATTTTACCATAATGGATCATCTTCATTATCCACGGATGAGTAATCTGTTGATTCACTTTTGACCTCCTCCAAAACTTGCAAATCTGGTTTTTTATGTGCCATTGTACTGAATCAGGCTACTTCTAACAGAAAAATCAAAAGAAAACTTTTTTTTAAACAAATCCTGGAGTAGTGTGGGTGTGTTGGACCCTCTGTGATGCTCAGGTAAGCATATGCAAAACCAGAAGGAGCATAAAGAGTCCAAATCCCATTTTGGCACTTTTGCACATGTACACACTCCTTGCCATTCATCACATCAAGCGGGTGAACACATAGATTGCTACCGGTATCCCTCATGGAAAGATAGTGAGACACACAGCTGGCTACTATAATACTAAAGTATAAATTTATAGTAGAAAGTAAGGGATGAGTTCACTGGACTCAGGCTTGTTCCTTGAGGGTTTACTTTCTTTTACATGAAGTTATCTCATGTAAAAGGCCTTTGTTTTGACAGATAAATACTGTAAGTCATATACGTGAAATAAATAACAAATGAAGAACTTAGAAATTGTATGCAACTGTTTACAGGAATTACAATGTATTAGTAGCAATTTGGGAAAGTATTTGAGCTCTCCAGCAGTTGCTCAGAGAGCTAGGCACTTAACTCAGCAAGGGTAATCAGGCAGGTATGCTGTTCATGTCTGAGAGAGCAACTCTGCTGTTTTCTCTTGATATGTATAATATGTATGATGTGCTTGTGCCATTCATTTTTATCTTCCTGAAGTTTATATGTGAATTCAGATTTAGCATTTCAACAGGAGAATCATGAAACCCAAATAAATGTGATAGAGTTGATTGATACAGCTGTGCTTTGCACATACAGAAAGGCAGTCTGGTTAGTATTGTGGTGGGAATGGTTGGATGAACGTCTATACCTGCCTCTCAGTGCTTACTGGACATGAATATCTATATAGCATGACACCGGTAAATCTCCCAGCTCTTAGATGAAATCACATGGCATGGATTTGCATTTACAAGATGGTATTTATACAGTTATAATATCTGTGTTTAGCTTATTTTTCCTTTGTATTTTTTACAAGAAATGTCTTACTATACTTTTGACCAGGTTCAAACAAAACTCAGCTAACAATAGCAAATATTGCTAGCAAATATATGTTATCAACCTTGTCTCTTTTTTTTATATAATTAAGCTTAACTCCATACACAGACATGATAGTATAACCTATTGCCTATATTGACTAGATTTTAGTTTAGATTTTTCAGATAGTATAAATATAAATGTATCCTCGGGGAGTCAAACTATCTGAATACAGTGACAACTTCAGAGATCATAAGTCTCCATTTCTTTTCTCTTCATTCGTTTTTTTCCCCTGCAAATATTTATTTACTTTCTACCATACATCAAACACTATGACAGGCTATTGGAGTGCAGTAGGGAACAGGACAGATCGTCCTTAACCTGAGGAGATTTTGTAGTTTGGTGAGGAATGTGGACATTATGAAATTACACAACTACACAAATAATACAGTTGTACAAGTAACTCATTAATTAAGCTTGTGGGAGCCATCCCAGTTTGTAATAATATCATCCCTCTCACCTGCTCAGGAGAACCATTAGTCGTCCCAGCTTCCCTTCATTAATGAGAAGCCGTGATTAAGCCTATCTTTGTAAGTGAGGGTTTGCTGTTAGGCAGATGTCTGTACTCCGTGTTCCAGCTCAGGTTCTCCAGTGTAACAGTCCCATATGCAAAGCTGTGTTAGGTGAGGGAGAGGGACCCTGAGATGAAGAAGACACAATCTTTGTCTGAATGAGTACAGAGAGAGCACATATTAATACACGCACATACTCATAGAGCCCACTTATTTATCTGTGTAATATACATGATGTTTGAAACAAAGTAGTTTAGAAATTCAGGGGTAGTGGTAAAATGACTTCTACTCTGGGTGATCTACTAGTGTTTCTTGGAGGTGACCTTTTAACTGAATTAAGAGAAATTGGTAAAAAAGGAAATATGGTGAATTAGTTACTCTGGATAAAGATAAGAGGGTGGGACAATTCAAGGCACATTGAAGGGTTTACAAAAAAAGAAAAAAAGCAAATCATCCAACAAAACAAGTTATATGGAAATGGAAGAAGGTAAAATTGGCAGGACAAGTTGAAGTGAGATCACTACGGTGTTTTAATACCTCTTGAAGATATAGTGGACTTCGGTTGAGAGACTGAGTATGATTACTCCCAATATTTAACATTTCCAGTTTGCCCCAAGAGTACTTGCTGGCAGCACTTGCAGGTGCAGTGTCTACCCTGAGATAATCCTCAGAATACAGTCTTAACCCGGCGCCTAAAGTTTGTCACAAAATATCTCACTTTTACTGTTATTTTCCCATCACTCTAGTATATTGATATTCTTTGGAAACAAAAAACATCATTCTATTTATAGCAAAAATTTTTGTAGTAGTATTTCCATTTACAAAATATAGTAATTCTGGATTGCTGAAAACTAAATGAGTGTTGGTAATGAGCCACATTTTTTTTTTTCTAAATGGGAACTAGGCTTCCTAAAATCCTTTAGGAAAAAAATAATTAGCAGTGTTGAAGAGAGTGACTGTGGTGAGGAAGGTCTGGATGGCAGCGCCCCACCTGGGCAGTGGCTGTAGTCTAGAGGAGATGGAATGGCCCAGACTCTCAGTGTTCACTGGTCCGTCAGTTTTGCAGGACATTTGCAGCAATGCCCCAGGGTTCCCAGAGATGATCTGCAGAGTGGAGACCCCATTAGGCATCCACTTTAAAGTCTCAAAGTGATCACTTTCCAGCTGCCCTAAAAGCCAAGTTTTCCAAACTGTTAAGAAAGATACACTAGCCGCTGAGCCCTGTCGATGCAAATATTTAGAATGAAAAACGCATAAGGATGGGAAAGTGGACAGATCTTGCTTGATATCACCACAGATATTTTCGAACTGATTTTAGCTGATTTATGAATAAATGATTATTCCAGTCTCGAGAGTTAAATATTTAAAAGTGAGCTCCCTTTTAGAGTTCATGTATAATACAGGGCCAATTTTCTGTGCTGCAGACTTCCGTTCCTCGTTTCCTTCTTTTTAATACATTATAATTATTATTCTTATCCTGTCCTTTTCCAGTTCCCTGCATGAAAAATTATTTAAACATTGCACACAAATCTTTGTGAAAGAAGAAAAGAAAATTCAGCTTGTGGGTCTCAGCAGGAGTGAAGCTAATGCAGCTTAAAATAATGCCGAAAAAGAAGCGCTTATCTGCAGGCAGAGTGCCCCTGATTCTCTTCCTGTGCCAGATGATTAGTGCGCTGGAAGTACCTCTTGATCGTAAGTATTAACGATTTAAAGCTCTTAGGCCCAGAAGTCAAAACCTCCCAGCATTTACCATCACCCTGAACAGTGCGGATGGAGAAGATGTCTGTGTGACACTGAAAAGCTAATCAAAATTAATTTGGCTTTTACCTTCACCACCTGGTGTTTATAAAGACTCTCACAGTAGAAATGACCATTGAAATGGTCAGCCACTCTGTCCCCTCTCTTTCATTTTCCTTCTTCCTTCTCAGGGGCCTTTTATGTGCCTTGCAGGAGTGGCCTGAGAAGGAGGGACTCATGCAGCTGCCATGATCTTCCCAACAGGCGGCTCTTTGTCAAAGTAGAGCTGCAAGAAAGCCATGTTACGGGAATTGTGGAAACATCCCCACTTCCCTCACCACATCACTTCCTCCCTCACGTGTGGAGAGTGCCCTTCTGGAGAGCTTGGAGCATGGTCTTTCAACCCTCTGCCCTACAAATCCCTAAGCAGCCATACTTCATTTCTCTTGATTCAGACAAGACACATTTGTATTACTTTCTCAATTTTAATCCTAAATATGAGTCAATAACTAGGGACAGTATCTCATCTCCAAGCCTGGTAAATAGTCTTTTTTTGGCTTAAAGAACATAATCAGAGACCAAAAGGGACATCTTTAAGACAAAGACAAGTAATCTACAAAAACACTAAAATGAAGCAAACAATAGCTATTGTATTTAGTGTACTCTTTTCCCAGTAGTAAGATAGTTTCCCTGTTCTGGAAGGCCTGTCTGTGAAAAATAAAGATAATACTAGGCTCCAACTGGTCACTTCTCCTGCAATGGAAAGCGCCATTTTAAATCTGGACAATTACTGTACTTCAGAATTGATTTATCCTTTATCCCTAATCTGCATGACCTCTTTAAATCCATTAACTTCCTGAATAGAACATCTGTTTGGCATGCTTTCCAAGGTGCAAGGAAGATAACACTTTCCTGGGGCTATTCGATTGTTGGGAAGTCCATTTTTGCCGTAAAAGTAGCAACTGCCAGTGGGAAGACACTAAAAAGAAATGTGGTTTGCCTCACATTTTGTTCACTTCTTTTACCATACTCCTTTAAAGTACGATAAAATGCAGTTTTTTATTTTGAAAAATATTCATCCAATTACCTTAATTTCAATTGAAAAATGCTTATATAATTGCTTAAGCCCATTGGAGTGGAAATGCCTAAGAAAGCACTTACCCTAACAGATACACAGGAAAGCAGGAAAAGCACTTGAGAGAAATGCTTTTGTTCTCTCCCATGTTAAATACATTCTCCTTTAATCTGACTGCTCAATCTAACAATCAGAGAAAAACAGGCACCTATGGCTAACTCAATTATCACTGCTAATGGAGAAGAGGCATAACCATGATGAAAAGAAAGTCATGGATAACCCAGGCACTCCCGCATTAACCTTTGCAAGTAGTAATGACAGGCTGCACTGCCGAATGATTGGAACTGCATACAAATGTAATTTCTTCCCCGTCCCTACTTCACACGCCCTTCCTTCAGTACATGTGCTGTTCCTTGGTGTGGGACCCGGCAATCCCTGGGTGACTGAAGAATTGGAAAGTAGAAATATGGTAACAGTCCAAAAAGTTCAATTATCGACTTAGTAACTGTAGAAATATGCCATTCTGAAATCAGTGCTGGACTTGGCTTGGATGGAACACTGTCACTGCTGCAGGGCCCCATTGTTAGGTGTTGTTACCATGTGCATCGAGATGTCTGGGATAATAGGATCAGACACGACACAGTATGTGACAACTCACATTAATTGTAGATTTCAGCTATTTTTCAAATTGGACATAATTACTTGTCCAGCACAGTATGTATGGGATGGAATTAGCCATTTTTATTCCTGGGAGAGCTTTTTTTTTTTTCCTACAGCATTGCTTTTGTTCTTCCATATATTTATGTGAGAAGCTGCTGCATGAGTAAACAAAACCATGAATGCAAGTTTCTTCTCTTGAACTTCTCATAACTTCACCCTCCATTGTATGGGTTTTTAGGTCAAATCAAATAGGAAAGATGTCCCTTTTATCTTTAGGGCTCTAACATTCTCATTACTAACATCTGATTTTTTTAAATCCTGTTTGCCCACTCACCTGCTGATATTGATGGGGAAAAAGCAAAACTTCTTGAAGACTGTAAGTGTCTTTCTATAAATTACTAGGCAGTGTGAAAATTTGACTGTGTCTGTGTTTTTTGAATTAATGCCATGAATTAAGTGCGCAGTGCTATGCCTTGTGATGAGTGTCCTTTTTAAGCATGTTTTTTCTGTAGCTAAACACTGTACTTAAGTACCAAGTTGCAGATTTAATATATTGCCTGCATGAATTGTGAAGATCTGGTTATTACATTTTGTGAATATGCTGCTGTACTAACCTAAAAGTTTTTATTCACATCTGATGTAACTCAATGAGAAAATTCACAAAATAGACAGTGATTATCTAGCTCTAAATGATATTAAATGCTTGCTGAAATGAAAATGCATCTTTCCGTGTGTTTTAGAAGGTGGGTTCCCAAGTCAGAAGCTGGGTGCTGTCTGCTCCTCTTTAGCCTTCAGATCTGTGTAGATTAATGTTTCTAGGTGCCACCCATAGAATAACCCAGCAAATTGGAATATTGTCTTGAAGTGTGCAGGAGACAAGCAGCTGCCACTCACATCATTTCTGAGCAGCTTGTTATAAGCAAAAATTTCTGCTGCCTTTGACAGCTGGGAAGCATTTATCATCCAGAAAAAAAAAACAAAACAGTTCTTCAGCATTTGAAAATTCCCTTTGATGTTGGATTAACGAGAGAAATTATGTAAAATCTCTTATTACTGCTTATTATTGCAAAGCATTTGCTAATTGCCATGTGACCTGAGCACTGTTCAGAAAGGTACCTCCAGATGGTAAACTCCTGGCAGTTAGCAGTGGTATAAAAGCCAGCTCAGCTGCAGACACATGAAGAGAAGCTCTGCATTTGAAAGCACAAATTTGCACCTCTGTCACTCCCAAAAATGCACAAGGAGTTGGACCGACTCACTCCTCAGAATTGCCTCCCCCTCTACTTATGTTCACTCTTTGAAGTGGGTGTGGAATCTCAGGCTTCCTTTTATTATCCCAAACTCTTTACTCCCAGGCCTGAAGGGTCAGTCACTCAAAGGTGAAGTTGAGCCAAATGAAAATTATTACGGTCATAATTTTAAAATAGCAAACAGCATTGAGCTATTATCCTATTGGCATGTACTAAGAATTTTACATACATTACTGCGTTAATCCTCCCAACTACCTTAGGATGTAGGTACTTCTTTTAAACTTCATTTTCCGTTAAAGGAAACTGAGCTTACGGAAGTTAAGAAACTTCCTTGAAGCCTCATAGCTAATAAGAAATAGACAAGTTCTTAACCACCAGACAGGACTCCTAACTATCAGTGGAAATCAGTAGACTCAGAAGAAGGAGGGTTCAGTGTGTGCGATGGAGGTTGGGAAGAGAAGCTGGGTTAGCTCAAGGGTAAGGAGGGGACAGGATCTTACTAAAGGGAAGGGAAATTGATGCTGTCTAGTATTCCACATGTAACTGGTGAACAATAAATGATGATGGAAAGGCTTTAATCTTTCATGTATACTTTAGGTGTTACTTTGGTGTTTAGGAAGATGCCTAGTGGGCAGCAGTAAGATGAAAGAAATTGCAAAAGAACAGAACTATGTTTGCAAACTTACAAGACTTTGGATGCAGAGGCAGTGTTTAGCCCAGGAACCATAAACCTCGATAAAGAGACAAGAGCAGGGAGAAGTTGCTGAGCTTTGGGAAGTGCTTGATTGGCAGGTGGAAGAGGTTTTGCAAAGAAAGCACAGAGTGGACAGAGAGAGCAGAGATCTAGAAGATGAAAAACATAGATGAGCCAGAATGTCAAATGCAGCACTGAAAGAAAGGAAAGCAAGAGTCCAAACAAGGGTCCTGGGCAAGATTGCATGATTCTGGGAGGCACGGCAGGACAGGCCACTTCATTGCACGGGCCCCGGTACCATTCATATTGTGGCCTGTGCCTGCTTTCTCAGCCTCAGCACTGCTCACATCTGGGGCCAGATAAGTCTCTGTTGTGGAGGGCTCTTCTGTATCCTGTAAGATGTTGAGAAACACCTGTGGCTTCTCTCTACTAGATCCTGGGACCACCACCGCCCTAGTTATGGCAGTCTAAATTGTTTCTACCTATGACCAAATGTCCCTGGAAATTTGGAGGCAAAATGCCTCCTGTTGAGAACCACTGGTCTGTGTAAACAGCTTTCTGTGGAGATGTACCAGGTGGTGGTCTTGCAGCTGGAGCTTGTCAAGAGAGTTTGGTGGCCTCTCTGCTTTGTGCCTTCCAAGTCAAACCATTGCTACTCTGAGAAGCAAAAACAGAGGTTAAAGTAGATTATTTTCTAGTCCCTTTCTGTTCTAACATGCTATAATTCTGACTTCGTAAGAGGGAAGACATGGTGATCTTAGAGAAACTTGAAGATCTAGATACTGACTTGGTACAAGTTCGATCAGTCTGGGTCAAAACAGCTTCTCCTACAATTTCCCAATAAAGGATGAGATAATGCTTTGAAGAGTAAAATGGAAAAACTGTCTCCTAGAACAGAGAGGTTTGATTACATTAATTTTCCAAGTAAGACTTCTTTTCTTTCTTCCCAACACACCTCTGTCCTAATAGTAAGTGACATAGTAATGGCATGTCTCCAGTTTAACAATCTTTATATTAGCTTCTCAAATGCATGTGCTCCCAATATATATTAATTTACAGTAGCACACTAGTAAGCTAAACGTCAGCAATTTTTTCCTAAAAAAGAACCAAAAATACCTCACAATTTAAATTGCATTGAAAGACATTGTTTTAACCAAAGGAATCAGAAGAATTTCTCATTGTTACATCAGAAAAACGTTTGAATGTTTGTGTTGGTAGTTATTTTCTCAGACTTCTAATGTGAGAAAATGGGCTTTGTTATTTCACGTAAAGTTACCAAAAGAGAAGTTATGCCTTGACTTTGCAGTTTTAGGAGACTTTTAGTTGAAAATCTATGGAGGTAGGTGCTGCCACAATAGAAATTGTAGAAATATTTGAAATATTTAATCTAAGGCAAGTGACCTTGATATAGTAAAATTGGTTGCCATTATGATATTAAATGATTTATTTCTTTACATTATTCTTTCTTCTATAATTAAGTGGTACAACCTCCAACCATCACTCAACAGTCTCCAAAAGATTACATCATTGACCCTCGGGAGAACATTGTAATCCAGTGTGAGGCCAAAGGGAAACCTCCTCCAAGGTGAGTGTGTTTGATGGCTCTTTAAGTAAGTCTGAGGAGTTCCTGGAATATAGAAAGAAGTTTGGAAATTCTGTAGAGCAAAGTAGGCAATATAGAGTATATTCATATACAGTTGGATGTTTTTCAACATGATTGCTAGTTTACTTTTTGGTTTGTCTAGCTCCCAAGATCCATTTCAGCTCTTCAAAGATACTACAGGAAACTTCTTAAGTTCTGCATATCCCTAAAGCATCAGTTGTAGATTTATTGTTTTGTTTCTCAGTTTAGAGTCAATTTGTTCTACTTAAAATCCAGAGTACTGCATTCTCATATTTATATTTTTCTGTTCATGACTTGGAGGAATAGGTGCAAAGCTTTAACCTTGGTTCTGATACTAATGGCCTTCTGATGTGAGCAAATCCCTTTTCTCTGGGCTTCAGGTTATTCACCTGTTAGAATGAAAAAGAAGTTGAATTTGATAATTTTCAAGATCTCTCCTACCTCCACAGTGGCCTTTAAAATAGTCCTAAATGGTTTTCCAAACTTGTCATGGTTCAGTACTCAGGATTCACCATATGGATATTGGCACAAACACTGCATAGTCCTCTCCAACCCGCACATTGTGTAGATGGGAAAGTGATGGTCTAAAATGCTGCATAGTTCATCCAGAGTCCCACAGTGCCTGACCTAGAACTTGTCCATATGCAGTTTAGAGCGTTGGATTATTTTTTAAATATTACTTATTATAACAGTTAAATATAGTAATTTAATGACAAGTTAAAATAATTAAATGTAGTCATTTATCAGAAATAAATGAAAAAGTTTTTAAGATATTTTATTTCCAAGTTTTTCTATTACAGGTTTTATTAAACTATCACAAAATAGCTTAGAAAAAATTAACTGGTACTAAATGCCTATGTATATCAAAACTTCCATCAAATGTTTACTTTAGAACAATATTCTGCAATATTATCAGAAACTCTGTGTCACACAACCCCTAATGTGACAGTCTTTGGTGAAGTCCCCTTCAGCTTCACACTTATGAATATTTAAGGCGTCCCACAACTCTCTGGAGGCTTCCTGTGGTAGAAGATAGCAGCATCCCTGGCCTCTACCCCTGAACCCACTAGGTGCTAGTAGCATCCACCCCCAGCACCTCTTGCCTGGTAGTGGCAGCTATCACTTATGAGGCTAAGTGCTGGGAAGGAAAATCCAAGTGAACTCTGAAAACACTATGAACTTTAAAGGTTTATGCCTTTATATGATTCTGGCCATCACTGATCTGTGACTGGTTAGGAAGTATTTAATTACAAGTATACTGTGACTTTTATATAAGACTATCTTATGTGTAAATAAAACTGAGACAGAGCAATCTCAGGTGACAATTTGGCATACCTTCTTTGAATTCATAAAATCATTGCTAGAATTAAAAATTCTCAAAAAATAGCTTATGCAGAATTACCATTTTTAATAAGTAAGATTTTAAACACCTTTGAACTTATGTCTGTTAGCCTCTTCCTCTATTGAACTTTGCATTTTGGTAACTTGAATTTTCAGCACAATCAGAGAGTACTTGTGGAAGCCTTTCTTGTCACATTTTAGCCCAGAGCAGATTTTTATATACACGATATCAACTCTATGAACAATGGAGTTTATAATAAAAATGCTAATAAAGCTCAAAGGGAATGTGCCTGGAAGACGTGTATCCTGTATTTTCTTTAAAAAGTGACAGGCAATTTGTGTTATACTTGGGCTGGTTGTAAAAACGATATGTACCTCAAAATGTACACTCAGCACTTTTTTCTAAGTCATGATTCCATGCAACATTTTAGGTATGGGTACCTATTATTCTTTCACTGAATGTTAAAAAGCTAATGATTATTTCTAGAAAACCATGAAACTGTTAGGAACTTATTGAAGAATAGTCACCCTACCTTTCTGAACCATTAACAAATTTCACTCTTGATGGTTTGGGCAGCTTTTCCTGGACACGCAATGGGACTCATTTTGACATAGATAAAGATCCTCTGGTCGCTATGAAGCCTGGCTCAGGAACACTCGTAATCAACATCATGAGTGAAGGGAAAGCAGAGACCTATGAAGGCATCTATCAGTGTACAGCAAGGAACGAACGCGGAGCTGCGATTTCTAATAACATTGTCATACGCCCGTCTAGTAAGTGAGATTTGTCAAGGAAATGTGACCCCATTAAAGTATTGCTCTAAGATTCAGCATCTGTTACATCATCCAATATTCCAACTTTGTTTTTTATGAACATTATTTGTCCTTTCTACTTTCTCCTAAATTCCTCAACCTAATTCCTTTGCCAGTCTAGTGTGTCTTTTATCCAAATCCTAAACAAAAAGGCCACATTCCAAAAAACAGTTTCTTCCCTGATTTTATTTAATTATTTATTACTCATATATTTTATGTATAAGCAAAATTCTTACAGCCAGATTGAAATAAGTTCAACATGATATGGGTCATAGGGGTTGTCTTAATTATTTTTTGTTGCTGGGACAAAATACCTGACATCCATACCTTACGGGAAGAAAAGTTTATTTAGCTCACAGTTTGTAGAGGTTTCAGTCTATAGCAAGCATGGCAGAGGGGCATGGCAGAAGAGAAACCGTCTATGATGTGGGAGGCAGAAAGCAGAAAAGCAGCAAGCAACACCAGCAAGCCTACCTTCTTCCTGTCCCCTTATACCTATCCACGGTATAAGCCTATTGATTCGTGCCTCCCATACCCAGATTGGGGTTTCCATTATCCACATCTCTAATCCCAGTATCACATCCTTAGTCCATATTTCACAAACCCTAGTCCAGCACCTTTGAAACTCCCCAACTATAACCACATGAGGCTTTGGAGGGACATCTAGATACACACAATAACTGGTACATGTGTGATTTCTTCTAACATTTTTGTTTTAAAATTTCACTGCAAATAATGTCCCCATGACCTTGATATTACTGTGGCTCATTTTGCAGTAGTCAGTACTAAAATCTCTCAATAACTTCAGGAGCATGTATTTAAAAAATGATGACCATGTGCAAATACTGGTCATTTTGAAAGCTTTTTAAATTACATGTATGTGTTCATTATAGAAAAATTAATTACATGTAAAATAGAAGTTTTAAATTACTTATGAGTACTTTCATTCAAGCAAATAACTGCTGCTCAAATATTTTCTCTACCTTTTCTAGTCAGATTTATATGTGTGTGCATAAAACCAGCTCAATACCAGATGAAATATTATTTTAAAATCTTTCTGACTTACTGAAGGATTATGTATATTCTCTTATCAATCTTCTCAATATGTATGTTTCTACTATAAAATATTCAAAGGTGTAGATGAACAGTTACTTACCTAACAAACTTTATGATAGTATGTAAGCATTTTTCATTCTTTGTAGAGAACATGCTTGGATTGAAATCATGTGCCTTCTTGATGATGTATTTAATATAAATTCTTAGACATGGAATCCACTTACTTAGAATTTATACTACCAATGGCAATGAATAAAAATTGTCCTTTTTTTTACTATCTTTTGCTTTTTTAAAAATCTTTAACAATATGTTTGTTTATTTTTTTGTTTCTTTGTTTTTTGTTTTTTTCTGGTACTGGGAATCGAACTTACAACCTTGCGCTTGCCAGGCAGGCACTGTACCCTGAGCTAAATCCCCAGCCTCCAACAATATGTTTAAAAATCACTTTTTCACTAGTTCATGTGTATAAATTCCAAGTTACTATTCTCCCTGTCAAAATTGGTTTGCCTCTCTTTGTAATGCTTTCTCTTTTTACTTTTTCATGCAGAAATAACCCATGTTATTTTTTTAATAGGATCGCCATTGTGGACCAAAGAAAAACTTGAACCAATAATTCTTCAAAACGGCCAGCCATTAGTACTTCCCTGTAGACCTCCCATTGGATTACCACCAGCTATAATATTTTGGATGGATAACTGTAAGTTTAACAATAAGAATTTTCTCTCTTCAAGAGTCTTATAATTACTTGCTGTCACAAAAATTATTTACTCTTGTGATTCATAAAATATTTATAAAATGTGTTAGAGATGCTCAAGGAAATAAGTGACATCATTTTATTCACTCAGTTTTATTGACCACTTACTAAATGAGGCACCAGTCTAAATGAACCATATATCCTGCTGTTGTTGAGCTTAGATTCTAGGCAGCAGAAGTGGATGAAGGTGGGAAGGAGGCAGATAATGAACGCTTTTAGAAAATTTGTGTCCATCAACAATAAATGTTATGAAAGAAAAAAGAGAAGCTGTTTGAGTCCAGACCTGAAAGAATGAGGGAGCAAACCAGGGCCCTAAATATCTGAGTGGACAGTGGAGGGCACCAGTGCAAGCCCCAGTGGAGGAGGCTGGTGTGTGTACAAAAAACAAAAAAGCGGCCAGCTTGAGAGAGCCCAGGGGAAGGGTGATGGCAATGGCAAGGTCAGGGAGGTCACAGGGACTCAGTGGAAAGGGCATTAGCTTGTGCTCTGGATAAACTAGAAAAGCCTGGAAAGAGTGAGTTATCTGAAATAGTGAGTAGTTGAAAGTATTCCTTCCAATCGTGGGTGGAGCTTTAGGGGACAAAAGAGAAGAGGGAGTCCAGGTTGCAGGCACTGCTGTAATCTAAGCAAGGGCTGATGGGGACTTGGACTTGGCTGGTAGAAGTGGAGTGGGTCAGGTTCTGGATATGCTTTGAGGGTAGAGCCTCTAGGATTTATGGTGTAGGGATAGGAGGGTGAGAGGGAAATCAAGAACAACTGATATAATAGAATTACTGTTTGCTGAAACAGCAGAAACCCTTTTGGGAGAGAAATGTGTGATATTTTGTCTGTTTATCCCCAACGATAGCTATGTTTATTGGGTCTTTATTAAGTTCCAGTCCTCCTGCTAAGACCGTCACATGGGCTAGCCCATTAAGTTTTTACAACAACCCTAAGAGGAATATTCAGTTTTTTTTATACTTTACAGATGAAGAAACTGAGGCAAAGAAAAATTAAGCAATCCATTAGGCAGTTTCAGATTTGTCTGCCCCTGTCCCTATTTTTGAGGGAACTGGTTATTGTTCTGCCTCTTCTACCTTCCACGGTTTCTTATGTTAATAAGTTAGCATGTTGTCTTAGAAAGAGCACATGGTTTGGCTTGGAAACTAAGAAACCAGAGTTTGAAGGGAGAGAGATCTATACAACACTTTTGTTGAGATACCCAGCAAGAGCAACATGAGCTATATAACCAGCAATGGGTGTGTTGTTAGTGTGTAGAAGGGAAACTTCAGGGCAGGGAATGGGTGCCAGTGGTAGAGAGCTGAGCCTGGAGATGAGACCAAGAGCCTTCCCAAGGCCAGGACCTTAGGGAGAACCCAGCAAAGCAGATGAGAAGGAAGAGTCACTGAGGTATGAAGAAAACAGAGAGGCTGGTGTGTCAGAGACAAGGCACAGGAAATATGTCAAGAAGACAGTGATAATGGTTTCAGAAGCTGCTGCTGCTATGTCAAGTATCATGAGGACTGGGAAATGACTGTTGAGCTGGTCAACATGTTTAGGTAGAACGGTGAGAATGAATTCAAAACATTCGCTTCTCAGTTAGTGACCTGATTTCCTGTGCAGTTGCAGGCTGTAAACTAGAGGGAAAATTTGTCTCTAACACTCAGTTTTCATTTTTTTATTCTTCTTACATGAAATCACTGGGGAAAGTGTCACAAAGAGGTGAAAAACAAATATATAAACTAATCAATGTACAAGTACATTTTTCCTTTCATTGCATAACAGGTTTGACAAGTTTTAAAAGGATAAGTAGATGTAAATCCATGATTTATGGCTTTGAGACCAACAGTCTCCCAATGTCTCTGCCAAAATGAGGCCCAGTATTTGGTCATTGGTTCTTATTCAGAAATGAGTTCTTTTCTGTTTCATAAAGAAAGAGACAGATCGCATGTAAAGTCTCAGAATCATCTGAATACGTAACTAATTTTTCCCCACATTGCCCATCTGGCTGTGTCATTTACATACATTTTAGGCTGCTGGCAAAACTTCTGACCTTTCAAGTGGAATTGCATCTAGAATATGAGAAAATTTTAGATTCATGAAACACTCTTGCAAGATGACATTATAAAATTATTCATATCTGCATACATTTTTTTCAAGTGTAATACAAAAAAAAACCCTTGATGTATAAAATGACACCATCTTAATAAATCCCACTGCCTTACATTTGATCTGCCAACACTCATGAATAATAATGTACAGCAGGAGAAACAAAAGACAATAAATATACATGTATCTGTAGTACTCTGTATTCATTAAATAAATGCACCTGAGCAGTCGTAAAATAGTCCTTTCCCAGAGGATTAATGGTTTGAAACTATTAATTTATATCTACCAACCAAAGCCCCATCTTGACCAACAACTTTGTTAACGTGTTAACCCAGTAATGTTCTTTTAAACTCTGGCTCCTCGGCTTTGGGGTTTTTTTTCCCCCCTGTCTTGTCCTGCCTGAGGGAGCTGGAAGCTTTGAGCTATACCCTTACGTTTTATGAAGTGTGAGACCAGGCACCTGCCACAAGGGGAGCATAGCTGCTTGACTCAAACTGAAGAAGTCCTGCCAGAGGATATAACACCTGGCCTGAGGCCACTGTGATCTGAGATTTTTCCTGTCGCTTTTGAGATGGAGAGCTCTCACAGTTCCCGTACTGTGAACTGAGTCAGGAGCTTTAGGATGCATTTTTTTTTTTTTACTTTTTGTTTTTTGTTTTTTTGAGGCAGGGTCTCACTATGCAGTGCAGAGTGGTCTTAAACTCACTGTAGCCCAGGCTGACCTGGAACTCACAGTGATCCTCCTGCCTCATTCTCTCAAGTGCTGGGGTTACAAGCGTGTGCCACCACACGAAGATGGAATGCATTTTAGTTGGCAGAGTGTGATTTTGTGCACAGGTCAGGAGGCCTACATCCCTGCATCCTTTATCTGAGTAAGAAGTCATTTCCCCATGCCTAAGGTTACAAAGTTCCTCAACTGAACCTAGAGGAAGTAAATTGGCATGCCTGAAACTGGAGAGTCAGCTGCTGGCTATACATTTAGTCTTCCACGAGTATGTGAAGGAGCCCCTAAGAAGGGCAGCTACTGGTCCAGAGCTGCAATAGGAGAGGAAACAGCTAAAGGTGTGCACCCTCCTACAGCTTAAACTCTCTTGCCGGGAAACAGGCAGTAAGTCATTTGTATGATAAGTGAGAGATATAGTATGTTAGAAGATAGTAAAGAATTCAGAAAAGAAAAAGTAGAAGAGGAGAAGGAAACAGCCTGGGGGCCTTCTGAGACCTCGTTGCAGCATTGAGTCATGTCGTTATTGCACCCTGTTGTTAATTGCTCCTTTGCTGCATGATTTTTCAATTAGTTTAGGAGCTCAGACAGGGCAGGGGCTCCCAATTCTTTGTTCAAGGTCTAGCCTGGGTGTAAATGCAAGCCATGTTAGCATCCTTACAAGCTCCCTTAATATGTTTTGTAAGATATGTGCAGTTAGGGACTAATTTAGATATTAGCAAAACTCACACAAAGTTTTTGTAAATTTTTTTTTGGTTTACACTTGCTTAATAAAACACTTCACTGTACCACCCTAATCTTGCCTCTACCTAACCCAGATAAATTAGGGTCAGGCAGGTACATTTAGAATTTTAATGGACTTGGCGTTTTTAAAAATAATTATTTGCTTTTATTTAAAGAGCTTTATAGAAAAAAAAATGTGTTCAAGTGAAGTCCACAGATCTACTAGGGTCAACATCTGTCTTGCTGATTTGTAGAGTGGTGCCTTTATGATGGAATGACTTGGAAATCTCTCTGCCTTTCCCTAGCCTTTCAAAGACTTACACAAAGTGAGAGGGTTTCCCAAGGTCTGAATGGAGACCTCTATTTTTCCAATGTCCTCCCAGAAGACACCCGTGAAGACTATATCTGTTATGCCAGATTTAATCACACTCAAACCATACAGCAGAAGCAACCTATTTCTCTGAAGGTGATTTCGGGTAAGAATTTAGCTTCCTGAATCTCTCTGAAGAATGTTTACGCATATGTGCAAAAATGCTACTGACTTTGAGGTAAACAGGTTCCTTGATCAGGAAACTACCTGTGGGCAATCACCAAAATGTTGGCATATGTATTAGAGAGAGGATGCAGAACGCTAAATGCTGTATTTTCCACTTTCGCTGTCATTGGCATTACTGTTTCCATGACAACCCTTGGACTCAGTGCTCTGAGCACTGGTGTGTGCTGTAAGCCCTACAGTGCCTTTCCCTTGGAAGGCCTGCAGTGAAAGAGTGGGTCCCCATGTTAGTGGTTGGGGGTGGCACAATGGATGAACGAGTTAGTCATATGCAGTGGAAAGCAATGATTTTGCTTGGGAAGGATTGCACTTAGCATAGCTGTATACATTTGTTTTTGTTGCCCAATGGTTTTTGACCCTTCTCCCCTGTTTTTGTGCCCTCTTCATAATATTCTGTTTATTTCAGTGGATGAATTGAATGACACTATAGCTGCTAATTTGAGTGACACTGAGTTTTATGGTGGTGAGTTACGGTGATTGTAACTGATATTCTCTCCTTCATTGTAGACTTTAGTTCACTAACTTCACCTCCATGGCTATTTAACCTTTTATTTCTTTATGAAATTGCTAGTTTATGTTTAACACCACTAGTATAAATGTATGTTTTGTATGAAATTTGCCTATCAACTTTCAAGCATGTCACTAAAACATTTTCCATGGTGTATGTATGATAATGAAATTTGTTATAACTGTTTTCATGTAAAAAAACCATCTGACATGATTTGGAAAAAATCCTACATATATGTTCAGAATTATACTTTCTATTTTTTGTCCTGTTCATAAGCTTTTCTCATGAACTAAATAAGACTTGGCCAGGGTGCAGTAACCTTCTAGAAGACTGACTCGTCAGAGCTTTTAGCAACTAACGTTAAATGGTTTCCATAGTAAACCATCACCCTTTCCATCCATTTTCACATGATGTTATTCAATATAATTAGCTATATTATTTTCTTGATTTTGTTCAAAACCAAGTCATTGTCTTCAGTGGAAATAAACTTTTAAAATACAGAGCTTTTAACTTCATCCCTTTAAACTGAAAAGAAATTATTTCCTGGGTAGAAATGTGGCTCTCAAATATAAAATCTGTCAGTGAAAATAAGTGTTCTGAATATGGGGTCTTCTTAATTACCCATACAGCAGAATTTCTGTGGTATTAAATTTTCACCCTTGAAATACAAATTTTACACTACCATCAGTGACATGTCACATTCCTGCCTTTACCTCACCTGTTAATGTACTCCTGAAAATATGGCCCTCAGACCATTCCCAAAGTAATTTTAAAGAAGGCTCCCCACAATCTCTAATTCTTAAGAGAACTAGTTTCTCTCAAATACCCACTTATCTAGTACAATGTTCAGTGTTTTCTTCTGAGAAGTAAGAATAATTTATATATTCCTAAAATTTTCCTTTAGTTTTTTGTGAGGATCAGATAGATAATTTATTCAAAGTTGAAACTGAGAAGAGCTAGAGAACCTTAAGATGTTGTAACTTGTCCTTCAGGCTGAGAGTCCTTCAGAAGATAAGGCCGTGTTTTAGAAAAGTCTACAGAAGAACAAGTGGCTTGTATAAATATTCCTAAAGTCTCTGACTTGTTTCATCTTTGTTTTGTCATTGAGGAAACTGATCTCAGTTTATTTAACTCTACCCTTGTTCTTGATTGTATTTATTTACTTATTTATTTAGTGGTGCTGGGAATTGAACCCAAGGTCTTGCTCATGCTAGGCGAGCACTAGCTATAATCACTGAGCTGTAGCCCCAGCCCTTTGTTATTCTTAATTTATGGCACACATTTTTCCCAGGCCTCTGTAAGTAACTCTCTAGTTTTGCTTTATTTTATTTTCCATAACCCTTGCAGTTTGCAAGTCTTGTTATATTCATTAGTGGAAGTGGCTATGATGTTACCCCCAATGTAAAACAAAACACGTCTTCCATAGTGATACCTTTCTGAAAAACCTAAAACCTTTCAGAAGATAAATAGGAAATTTTTGCTTTGACCAGAGCTCTAACATTAAAGAATGTGTAATTTAGCGATATGCACAGAAACTTTGTAAAACCCACAGAAAATTTGTAAAAACCTAACCTCAAATTTTTAAAAATGAATAAGAGGAAAAAAGTCCTTACTACAAGAGCTTGTGCAACCCAAGTTGTTTCTATTCCTGGTTTACAGAGTGCGTGATGGCCATTTATAAGGCAGAGAATGGTTGTATGTAGCTTGACATAATCAATGTTAAATGGATTTCAACGGGAATTAGAATTTTAGACAGCTTTTTTTGACAGTGACTGTGTCTGTAAATGCATATTCATGATTTTAATGCATATTGATTCCTTCTTTGCAGCTAAATCAAGTAGAGAGAGGCCACCAACATTTTTAACTCCAGAAGGCAATGCAAGTCACAAAGAGGAATTAAGAGGAAATGTGCTCTCATTAGAGTGCATTGCAGAAGGCCTGTGAGTTAACACTTTCTGTCCTGATTTGTATATTCTCATAAAAAATATAAGAGATTGACAGAGGTATTCATGCCATAGAAAGAGTCATTGTCTTATACTAATTCCCCCAACCATCAAGAACAATTTAGTAATTATTTCTTAGTTCTTCCCTGGCTTGTTCTCCTAACAGCAGATGCACACAGGCATCTCAGGCTGTACTCTCAGAACTAGCACACTCTGTCCTTTCCAGTACTTCCTGTTCGCAGGCCACAAGGCCAACCCTGGTTCTTTGAAATGCCTCACCTGTGCATACCTCAGAGCTGACAGGCATTGCAGGGAGACCTTCCCCTCATATATGAGGATCTGTTAGGATAGGGCCTCATTAACAGTGAGTTCTTAGAGTCCAGTCTTGTGCCTGACATTGACATGAGCACGTTTACCAACAGTCTTGAATGGGATTCCAGAATGCTGCCTTAATATTTGGAAATCAGTGCTGTCCCTGACCTGGTAGTTGGGTGATCTCACATTGTTTGCTCTATCCAGGAGTGACTATACTTCAGCAGACATGTGGAGGCCTCTGCTGGCCAAGTCAGGAAATCACAGGATACACCCCATTTCGTTATACTGAAAGCTAGCAACACCTCTTTTTAAAATGTTAAAATAGAATTTAAAAAAAAAAACTACTGATTGTGATCAGTTTGTTAGAAAGTGATTTAATGGCCAAACTCTAACCTGTTGGGAACAGAAGTAATTCTCACAATTTAGTAACTCATCTTCCTTCAAATGATATGTAAATTAAAAATCCCTTTTCTGAAATATCTAGGACCAGAAGTATTTGGAACTTCAGATATTTTTGTGTATATTTTACAATATTTACATAGACTTTACCAGTTGAATTTCAACATGACACTTAAAAATTTCTCAGATTTTGGGATTAGGTGTGCTCAACCTGTATTATATAAAATATAAAATGAACTACAGATGGTATTTGGAAATTTCACAAAGCCCCAGAAAGAATTTTTAAAACTTTGGAATGTTGTAAAACCAAGACTTACATTCTATCATTTATAAACCAATAAGCATTAGACTCATAGAATCAAAATATTCCTAATTATTAACAACTGCTCAACAACAGTTGAGTGGTAGCCCTCCAAAGCAATCCATGGATTTGTGAGGTATAACCTATTACGTTGTACTTCTAGCCTTGTCCCATCTCAGCTTCATAACTATGAAATGCAAATTAGTTTTTCAAAATTAGTTTTTCAAAATGATTCCACATCTACCTTTTTAAAATTCACAGTATATTTTAGTTTTGGAAGCTATTTCATCAAATATATATATATATTTTATAATATATATTTCATAATATATATTTCATTA